AGATATATCGTATCGTGACCCCTGTCATGATACTGTATGTATCGTATCACCAAATTCTTGCCAATACACAGCCCTAACAGCAGAGAATGATGCAAACAAGCTTCTTAAAACAACAAAGAAGCCCAATTAATCCAAACCTTCACGCAACTAGTATTTAAACTCAACATCCATGTAGTACCTGATCTTGTCTTCGTGGTTCTTCAAGGCTTTTATCACCTCTGAGAACTCATCAGATATGTCCAGCTTGTGAGCGTCAAACAGGAGGATGATCCTGTCCACTCGCTCTGCAAACCACTCCAAGACAGCTGCGAAGTCGTAACCTGAGAGGCAAAAAATAAATAAAAATAAAATCAAAAATACAGACTGAGACCAGTCACTGAACTTTGTGAAAAGAAGATTTTATGCCCTTCAAAAAMATAAAGCACATTTTTATCCTGATTGTCAACATAATGAGGAGAACACTGAGCACTGATGTGACATTGAAATCAGTTACAGGTCACACAGTAGGCCAATATTGCATCATGATGACAGAGAAGAATGTCAGCTAATAAAAACGGGTTCCCAGCGGTTAAGAAAATAACTTCTGAAAACTAATAAAAGYGGAACAGCAAACTGGGGACACCCATTTAGCTCCTGATTTCCTGTGTTGTGTCCAATAAACAATCTGTGTAGAGTACATAGAGATGGAGGCTCTGGATGCTGAAATATGTTAACAAATTACTTCATAATAACAGAGTCAGTCATTGAATCTGTCAGCAGGAGGACACGTCACTCACTTCTGACTTTCTTTTCAAGGACAACATTCACCTGGAGGAATTTCACAAGACATGAGAACAAGCAGAGCACAACGGGTCAGACTGAGGATTAGGTAGCTGAAATTTCCAAGCAGTCGGTGAGTTTCATTATTAAATCATAAATAAACCAGAAAAGCCAGGAGATTAGAGAATTAGTAGATGTTAGCTTTATTCTTAACTTAACAATTAAAGTGAATACTATGTAAATTACGTTTACAAAACACTGTTTTTTAATCAAATCCAAACCTTTTTATATGTTCCTGCTTTAAATATGTCAATGGATGGAAACGTTGGGCAATCTTTTAAAGGACGCATAATATAAAAGGTTAATGGCTTTCCCATAAATAATTAACTCGAAAACTGTTCATATATTAAGAAATAWAAGTGAGTGAATAACCTCTAAATCCTCAGTGGGAATGAACAAAACATTAGTTGTGGTTCATGAGGTAGACATGGAGAGAAGACTCTGCTGCCTGAGAAAACTACATAATGAAAAGACGTACGTCAGATACTTTTGATCGTTTGAAACATGGTGGATTGTTCTTCACCTGGTTAATGGAAAACTAACTCAATGGGTACAAGTAAAAGAATACTGATTTTGTTTTGTTTTTGGTAAAACTTTAGCAAATACCTGTAGCTCATATATAAAAGCAACAATTAAGTCACTTTCTGTAGAAAACTTTTTGCCTCTGTGGAACATTTAAGTTAAGCTCTTAAATTCTAACATAGGAACAATAAATGTGTTTTTTTTACTGAAAACTACATAATATGAATCCAGAAAACATATCTCAGATTTTATATTTCAGTTTCTTTTTAGAGCTTTTGAATTTGGGTTCTGTAGAGGTTATGAACAGCTAATATCTTACCTGTTATAGATAGCACTTTGAATGACCTCAGTTTGGAGAGGTTAACTTTGACTATTTTGGTCTATCCTGGACCAAAGTGGTTTGCTGCCATTTTCAAGTAACTTATTCTGACAGAAATGTATATTATTCCTTCTGGAAGAATCTCAGGAAGTGCTACAGCTAGTTGCTGTTGCCACTATTCCGCTTGAAAATAACCCCTGAATTTTAAATAATGACGGCGTAACATGAAATTTACAACAATGGAAAAGTTTATAAATAATTTCTAGCATAAACCACTAAGATTTCTGACTGGATTCATTGTAAGACAAAACACATCCTCTTTGGTCCCAGCTCCACCCATAGCTCGCAGTTTATGCGTCGGTCCAGTTTAGTTAAAATTCATATCTGTTTCTACAAATTGAGGTAAGATAGTAACTGTTCATAACTTTTCCTTAGTTTTTTTTTCCTCACAAATGTGATAAACCTAGTGAAGAACGTGCAACAAGCCACACGGTTTTCAAAAATCCAAATCAGGATTTTTAAGCCTTTTCTTCAACTCTTTGCTTTCAGCGTTTGTAGTAAAACCTACAATACCTCCATAAGGACATCTACGCAGACAGCTATAGCCTGACAAGTCTTCTTCTGGACACACACAAACACACACACGCATACAAATACATGAATAATGCAACAGATGAAGAATGCAAAAGGCTTGCACATATACAGTACAAGTGTCGGTAATAAACAAGTGAACTGACTTGAAATGCGCACAAACCCACACCTTAGTGTCTCCAGTGAGAAAACAGATGTGCTGACTCGGTTACATTTATTTCATTTGACTTAAAAAAAAAACAATAAAAACTGAGCTGACGTGTTTTAAATTAACTACCACACCTAAAACCTTCTGTTAGTATTCATAAATCACTCGTGCCTGGTTGTTTCTCAACAGGAGACAAAAGAAAAAAAAAACACTGATGAAAAACAAGTTTCCACATTTACGTTGTGAGGAAACTCCAGACCCCAGTCGACCCACCCGGCCCTGTTACGAACTAATGAGCTGCAGACTACTGAACCCCGCGGCCAGAACTTCTGCTGCACAAGAGGATTTTATGGTTCAGGCTTGTTTCTAGACAATGAAGGAAAAAAAAACTTTAAACTGCAGATACAGGTTGCAATTTTAATCTAATTTATTATTATTTTCTTGCATTTTCACACTAGAATTACCAAAAAGTCAAACCTCTGAGGACATTTGCTCATGGAGAATGAAATAAATGATGAAAGCGCAACAACAACAAAAAAGAAAAAGTTTCCCTGACAGGGATTCAAAGAGCTTTTTTTTAATTACTTTCTTCAGTACTTCAGCTCTTTTCTACAYGTTAGTGGTTGGTATGGCGATGCAATCATAAAGCTTTGGGAATGCCAGTTAACGCCACACACACATTTCAGCCTTTTGTCTTTTTCCTCTGTCGCCTCTTTAATTCTGTTTCCACCACAGCTGAGATTTCTGCATCCCAACTTGATTCTAGGAGAACAACAAGTGGATATGATCAAAGTTGTGTGTAAACAGATTTAATCTTTAACASGCAGGATACAAGTGATGCACAAATCTTTGAGATGATCTAATTGCGTTCTGCTACAGCAGCTCTTTTTARGGGAGAAAAGGCCACTTCTTTAATGTGATGATAAATATCTGCRTCAGTGGTTCAAAGAATGAACAAAGGCTTGTGATTCCATCTATTACTGCTTTAATGATATACAGTATAAACAGCTAAAAATCTGATGAAGCATTAGTGCAATGACAACATAAACACCTATAACGTGTCAAACTCAAGGCCCATGGGCCAAATGTGGCCCAACACAGCATTTTATGTGGCTTGCTCGAGCTTCAAAGATGTATTAATGTATAAAATAAGCTGCTTTAAAGCCATCATTGGCGATAAACTACATCTCCCATAATGCATGTTGATTATTTTACCCATAAAATGACAGCATCCCACCACTAGGTGGAGGTGCACAGAGTTCAAATGTGCTGGCAAATTTCGCTGTGTAAAATCCCTATTTCACTGCATTTTTGCTACGTTTGCTGCGGCCCATTTATAACAGGAAGTGGGAATTTCTGACTTACAAGTAGCAAATTTAAACTGGAATGGGAATTCCCTGTCAGAAAGTGGGAGAGTTTCAATTTCAACRTGGCAGATAGTCGCAACTCGTCAGTGAGTAAAACCATCCACCAAAAAAGTATTTTRTTTTTTACTTTTAARTTGCATTTCTGTAATATTTATTTCCCCATTTAGTCAGTCGYACACATAGTTTAAGAGGACATGTTTCTATGCATGAAATACCACATAGAGCTCAATTACTGTTAGGTGGCGTTGCTTAGCCATATGATAAATGGAAGTTTAACACAAAATGTTGAMGTTAATTTCAACGGACTCTTTGAGGGTCACCATAATGTTCATGTGGCCCTTAGTGAAAATGAGTTTGACACCCCTGAACTACAACATCATTCGATATATCATGTATACTGTGATTATCCTTTCAAACAATTATAGTAAAAATATGCCAAAAGCAATATTTTTTAATCCCCACTCAGACTTTGGGAACCAAAAGAGCTGTCCAAAAATGTAATGTCTTGATTTTTCTCAAATATAACTTTTAGAGTTATGGAATTATGTTGTGTCTAAATAAATAAATAAATAAATAGTTGCACTTTGTTGTTGGATTTTCTGTTTAGCAAAAATTTGCCTCCTAAATGTAAAGCACATGCAACTTTGTGGGTTTTTTTTTGGAACCTAAGCACTTTTGCAGACAGCAAACAATAAAAAAGCATGAAAGGAAACATTAAAAGATTAAAGGGAAAGAACTGAACCATGGATGCTGCAGTGATGGCTTATTTTCACTCTTTGATGTAAATGGAAAGTTCAGTTTTTTTAACTGTAGTTCTGTGTAAAGGTTATAAACAAATAATATTTCACCTGTGGAAGATAACTCTTTAATCTAACTCAGTGCGAGTTGAAATCTGAATTCAATCAATTCGACAAGCTAATGGCTAACCTGAAGGCACAGAGAAAAGCTTATTTTTTAATAAAAATTGGTGGAGAAATGTTTAGTTCAAATTGCGCGCGCGCGCACGCGTGTGTGCGTGCGTGTGTGTGTGTGTGTGTGAAATGAAAGCAGCTTTATCTTCAAACACGCACACGTGCCCAAAGGAAACGTTGACTCTGCATTTCAGAGTTCAGCTGGACTAAGAGTCTGCAGCTGAACTGCTCAAATGATTTCACACGCACGCACGCATACATGCAAACACACACACACACACACGTGTAAACAAAGGAAAATAAAAGCGTGAGTGTCGCAAGTGTCTTACCACGACTGATTCTCTGTTTCTCTCCAGACAGGATCCCTGGTGTGTCAATCACACTAATGCTTTCCAGCACAGGGTTTGGAAGCTGGGCACACACGAACCTACACACAGACACACGCACGCACGCACGCACGCACACGCACACACACACACACACACACACAAAGGGCAGAATAAAAAGACAAAATATGGACAGAAGTGTAAAATGTCCTAATAAGAAACATCGCTC